CACTTTGTCCATGGCAAAGCAGAACTACTTTAAATCATTGATCTGCACCAATGAGAGGCACCCGCAGTGTTTGTTTTCCTGCTTCAACACCTTGCTAAAACCTCCTTCTCCCCCTGTTTCTTCATTATTTTCCCCTACCGACTTTGCTAATTACTTTATCACCAAGCTCACTACTATTAGATCTGAAATAGTTCCTTCTAACTTGTCTTTCCCCACGGCACTCCACTGAGACAGCCCTCACAAAGATCTCTAATGATCTTTTACAGGCCAAGGCAAATGGTCTCTATTCTGTGCTCATCCTCCTCGATTTATCTGCGGCATTTGACACCATGAATCACTGTCTTCTAGTTGATATATTCTCTGATATTGGGTTCTCGAACTCAGTTCTTGATTGGTTTAAATCTTATTTGTCAGATAGATCTTTCGCAGTGGTCAGACTTTGTCCCCTGTTACCCTATCTGTTGGAGTTTCCCAGGGTTCTGTTTTGGGTCCCCTATTGTTCTCTCTTTACACCTTGTCTTTAGGAAAACTTATTAGTTCTTTTGGTTTTTCCTATCATCTGTACGCTGATGACACCCAACTGTATCTTTCCACCCCTGATCTCTCTCTTGAACAGCAAGTTTCATCATGTCTATCAGCTGTCTCTCTCTGGATGTATCATCGGCATTTGAAGCTCAACATGTCCAAGACGGAGCTTCTTGTCTTTCCACCTAAGTTCTCCCCTCAAACCTCTTTCTCTGTTTTTGTTGACAACACTTCTATTCGTCTGGTCCAGGAAGCCTGCAGCCTCGGTTTCATTTTCGACTTCTCTCTGTCTTTTATTCCCCATATCCAGGCCACAGCCAAAGCCTGCAGATTTTTCCTTTATAACATTGCCAAAATCCATCCCTTTCTTTCGGCCTCCACTGCCAAGACTCTGGTCACTGGCTCCCTTTTCCCTTCTTTCTCCAATATAAGCTTTGGTTGTTAACTTTCAAAGCCCTGCATGGGGTAGCCCCTCTTTACTTATCTGAACTTCTTTCTCCTTACACTCCCATCCATACCCTCCATTCCAGTACTTAAGGCCTGCTGTCCCAACCTAGGCTCTCCACTGCTCCATCCCAGATTCGCCCCTTCTCGCTTGCCACCCCTCACTCCTGGAACCTTCTTCCCACTCAAACACGGGTTATTACTTTTCTGTCTACTTTTAAATCCGAGTTAAAGACCACCTTGTTCAGGGAGGCATTCCCAGACACGGTTTGATATACAATTACATATACTTTTCTGTTATTTGGGTAGACAGCGAATGTTGTTAATTAATTGTGGTGTTGTATTTTGTTTTAATTGACTTTTATTATTTTTCCTACTATTTGTATTAGATTGTACACCTCCATCAGGTTTTTATTCTATTTTATGTTGATTTTCTCTGTGTACAACGCTGTGTATATTGACAACACTTTAGAAATAAACTATAATAATAATAATAATAATAATAATAATAATAATAACAGATTCCAGCCTCAAAAAGACCCATCTTGTCTATGTGTACTAACACTCTCAAGCCAAATCAGCGAGATCTCCAGTTTTGGGCAGGCTATTGTCCTCACATTGGGGCACCCCTGTCGCTACATGACCAAACCTCCATTTTACTATCAAGCTGATATCAAAGGGTGACAGAGGGCTCATTTGTGGTGTTACACCAGGAACAAAAAGCAATGAAAGATAAGTAATAAAATTTCAACTCCTTGAGCAACAGAAAAATAATTTCCCATGCTACCCCATCCTCATGCTAAATCCTGAATCCTGTACAACCAACTGTATAGCTGCCAACTTGCCTCCTGGTTGTCTCATTATGCAATGGGGAGTGCATAGAGGGTGTTTCTGAAATCCTAGTTAAAAAGTGGTCCATTGAAGGTAAATAGTTATGCAACATCCAAGAATGTGCAATTTCATGGCAAGAATCCTGTTTAGTTCTAACATGAATAGCTTCTTGAATCAATATTTGAAGGGAGAATCAACATGTAGATCCAACTAATTCAACATCTCCACTCTAGTCAGCACCAACGATAGGAATTATGCCTGTGAAATTATTATATTTGGGGAATTCCACTTATGCAATTTGTGTGTGTATTTGTGTGGTTTGGGCCATGTGTGCTCCTTGAGAACATGCACTACGTGGATGGAGCTAAGAAAAACTGAGTCATCAATTTGGTTGGCATTGCTAATTCTATTTTGCTGTTCTCTCCATCTCTAGAGCACAGTCTCTGAATAGAGAGAAAGTAGGCTTGCACTTTTAAAGTTATTGCTGTGAACTGATTGATTCAGTGGCTCTACTCTAGTCATGACTAACAATAGGATTATTTATTTGTTTGTTTATTTTCCACCATTTTCCCAGCTTTGAGTCTCATAAGCAGCTTATAATAGTTTAAAAAAATTCAGGTAGTGTTTGCATGGGGCAGGATGTAGGCAATTCAAAGTTTCCTAAGGCCTTTGTTAAGGAAACAAAAATATTTAAATATCAGAAATAACAAAGCCGCCACTTTGAGTCCCTATATTGGGAGAAAGATGGAATATAAGAAAATAAAATAAATAAATAAAAGCCAAGCCTGTTAGGGTCTAGCTTTAAATCAGCAGAGTAGCAGAAACATGTCCTTGTCTAACAATGCTTCTCTAAGAACTAAGACTGACTTAAAAACAACAAACAGAAGTACCTTGCACTTAAACAAAATTTTACTGATGGTTTGAATCTACATATGCATAGATTCTACATCCTAACCTAGCTAATGAATGTGCCAGGTAAAAGAAGAAATCTTTATCTCACCATCTTTTTGAAGAAAGTTGAGGAGGAAGAAGATGAGGGATCTGACAGGGCAAGATAATCTCTTTGTAAAAAAGAAGTGGCCTGAATCACATGGTTTGTTTACCAATTTACTAAAGTATTTATTATCCTGTGATTCAGTAGGAGTAAATTGGATGTTTGAATGAGGGGAGACAGTAGAATTTGCATGCAGGGAATCCTATCCATCTGAGGAAGGGAAGAGAGATTGCTGAAATCTTTCAGCTCAGGATATTTCAGGGGCAGCCTGAAGTATTGTAGCCTTGAAACTGCCCTGAAACTGCTCGGTCATTTGGGGTCATCCATTCTGGCACAACCTCTGAAGCAGCAAGTTGCTTGCTCCTGAGGTTGGAATGAGGTCCCCAGTCTTGATCATATGGCTGGGCACCTTCTTATGACAGATAAAATCAGAGGAGAGGTTGGTGAGTTCTTTTGCCTTAGCCTTCCCACCCAATTCTCTTTCCCTGACTCTTGTTGTTGTTGTTACCTGCCACCAAGTTGACTTCAACTTATGGCAACCCTAAGAATGTAAGACCTCCAAGGCCCTTGTTCTCCATTGCCTTGCTCAGGTCTTGCAGACTGAAGGCAATAGTCTCCTTGGTTGAGTCTATCCATCTGGAATGCAGTTTTTCTCTTTTCCTACTGCATTCTACTCTACCAAGTTTTTTTTTTCCTATTAAGACATGTCTTCTTATTATATGGCCTTTAGGTATGATAGCCTCAGTTTAATCATCTTGGCTTCTAGGGAGAATTCAAGGCTGAATTGCTTTAGGACCAATTTATTTGTCTTGTTAGCATTCCACAGTATCCACAGAATTCTTACCTGGCACCACATTTCAAATTAGTTTATTTTCTTCCTATCAGCTTTCTTCACTGTCTAGCTTTTACAACCATACATAGAAATGGAAAATAGGATGACACTGAAAACTTTTAATATTCAATTATATATTTTTACACTTGAAGATCTTCTGATTTCTTGGCTATAGTCTCCACTCTGATTAATGATTGAGCCAAAGTATGGAAAATCTTGATGTCTTCATCATCTGCTTTAAAGTTATGTAAATTGTCTGTAGTTCCTATTTTTTGTTTTGTTGACATTAATGTTTCTTAAATCTACATTTGCACTTTTTGCCTTCAATGATCATTCCAAGCCTTTGCTATTTTCTGCTAGTAGTATAGTGTCATCTGATTATCTTAGATTCTTGATGTTCCTTCCTCCAGTTTTCCTTCCACTGAGCCTATTCCTGCTTTATGTATAATATTTTTCATCATACATGTTAAACAGGATGATAAAATGAAGCTTTGCCAGACTCCCTTGGCAATTGGACATAATTCTCTATAGTCTGTCCTGACAGTAGCCTCTTTTCCTGAGTACAGGTACAGCATCAGGACAATCAAATGTGGCACACTCATTTCTTTAAGAGCAATCCATAGCTTCTCTGCCTACAATAGGGCAAAACTAGAACAAAAAGGACTAGGGAGAAAACAAGCAGTATTGTCCACAGCTGTTTCATCCACTACTTTACTAGTATGTTTGCACTGGTAGATTGATATTTTCTGGACTGCAGCCTAGCAACTCTGTCACTGACACAACAAATCTACCATACTGAGAGGGAGTGTTTCCTGGTTGTTGTTTTTTAGTTGTGTAATTTCAGAATTCATATTAAGCCACAAACTCCCAACTTGTTCTAGAAAGGCAAAAGAAGTACTGTGGTTGGATACCTTTATTTTATTTTTATTTTTTGCATTCCAGCTTTTTCACATTATGGGACCCAAAGTGGCTTGCAGTATAACAATATGACCATATGCCTTTAAAACAATGTATGGTGTGAAAGCTTTAAAAATATTTTAAACCATGTTAAAATACTTAAAAGAGTTTAAAATACATATAAAGCATAAGATCAAGATAAAGCATACCCTATTAAAAGGCCCTTCTGCCATATCCATTTAAAGGCCAAATGTCTGTTTCTATAAAATGGTCTTTGATTGCTGGGCTTCACTATGACTAGCAGGCAAACTATGTTGTCGTTGTTGTGTGTCTTCAAGTCATTTCTGACTTATGGCAACCCTGAGGTGAACCTATCAGGGGGTTTTCTTGGCAAGATTTGTTCAGAGGAGGTTTGCCATTGCCTTCCACTGAGGCTGAGAACATGTGACTTGCCCAAGGTCAGCCAGGGGATTTTATCACCAAGCAGGGAATTGAACTCTGGTCCCTAGAGTCATAGACCAACACTCAAACCACTACACCACACTGGCTCCCCAGGCAAATTATGACACACATGGATATCTAAGGTTACAAACAAAATACTAAATTTAATTGTTAGTCCCAATTAGAGCAAGCCAGCAGGATGAATAACACCAATTAAGTATAAATCCTATTGATTTAATGTTTACTTTAGCAAACAGATTTAGCCCAACATTTATTATGTGCATTGAAGGGAACAAAAATTTTCAGAACTCTCTATCCCTAAATGTCTTCTCCCTTTGTGCTTAGCATCAATCATTGACATTACTGGAATGCTCTCCTAGAATTCTATGGACAACATCCTGTTAGTGACATATGCGTGTGTAAGTGTGACTTAAAAACATATATCTCTTTTTGGGCAGGGACAGGAAACCATTCTCTAGCTCAGGGGTCGACAAGTTCCCCTTACTTGAGGCCGGGCCGGGGATCCCTGGGTTTTTCATGGGCCGATGGGGGGGGGGGAATGGCGACGCATGGGTTTGCATGCGCATGGCCCCCACCAACTCCCACCGCTGATGGTGACAACAACACCTGCCGCGCACTTCATGGCCGCCATTTTGTTTTCCAATATGGCGGCCGTGACTCGTTTGCTTATGCGCCGAGTACTGTGCATGCGCAAACGAATCACGGCCGCCATTTTGGAAAACAAAATGGCAGCCGCGACACGCGCAGTGGTGACGGGGGTCAGCAGGGGCCGATCCAAAGGGCTTGGGGGGGCAGACCCGGCCCATGGGCCATAGGTTGCCGACCCCTGCTCTAGCTCTTTGGCCTCCATCCAAAACATTCCCTTTGGGCAGTCTCTTCCATATTATTTAATTCTATGGGTGGGGTATTTTATTATCTTTGTATAAAGATAAAAATAGAGTTTATCACAAGAACCCCTTTCTTGTCATGATCACACTAGTAAGGGGTACCAGAAACATACTGGTTTGGGGGGATAAAGTCTTGCACATCTCTGCAATAGTGCAACTAGGCCTTCACACTCTGCTCCACACTCCTTTCTCTTACCTGACCTATACCCTACCCAGCATGCCTGTCAAGTTTTGTTTATTTATTTTTTTATTTTTATTTTTAATGCAATTCCAGAGGTATGCTAATGTGATTTTTTTTAAAAAGAAAATGAGAAGAAAGTTGCTGTTTTGGTTTTTTTAAAAAGAAAAACCGCCATTGGAATAAGTCACTCCCTCTGAGATCAGAACAAGTTGCCCAGCCAAGTGATTGACATTGGGAACCTCATTTCTGACCTCAGAGGTGACTGCCAGTGCCAGAGGTGACTGCCATTTCTGACTGATTCACATGGTGTTGCTCTGGAGTACAGATGTAAGGAGGGAAATCCAGGCCAGAATACTCTGGGAGAAGCTGGGTATATTCTGGACAGTGTAGATGAGCCCAGAGTGTACTGAGAAGGACAAGATTCCACCCTGTCCTTTCTACCCCACCTTGCTAAGTTAACTGGGTGCAAACTAGAATCATAGAATCATAGAATCATAGAATCATAGAGTTGGAA